TCATGCCTTGCATTCTATAGGAATGGACTGCTAACCAGAAGGTTGGCAGTTCAAACCCACTAGCCACTCCACAGAAGGAAGACTAGCAATCTACTTCTGTAAAGATTTACCACCTCAGAAACCCAAACCACCAAATCTGGACTGTCGGAAACAGTGGTGCCCTGCTCAAAGATGGCAGCCTATGAGTCAGAATCCACTCAATGGCAGTGAGGTTGTTTTTTTTTTTGGACTTTAGCCCAACTCTGGAGAGGAAGAAACTGACTCAAAGGGCAAGAGACTGCATAAACTCACACAGCCTGTGACTGAATCTAGAGTCATCCTAACCACAGGTTTTCAGGAACTGGGATGGGCTGGTGGGGCTTTGTAGACATGCATACTTGGTTCTAGACTGAAGGCTGGGAGGAGAGAAAGAGGGAATGGTATCTGCTGTGAGCAGGATATGTCCCCTCTCTGAGCTCTACTTTCCTCCCCTCTGAAATGGCTGGATCCCATAAGGGGGGGTGGGAGGTACCTGGTAGGAGCCCTGGGGAGAGGGAAGCTGGAGTTGAAACCCCTGCTCTCCCCCAGCACCTGCCAGCTGAGTTCCCCAGCCTGGAGGCCCTGGTGGAGCATCATGCGGGCACGGAGCGCAGCCTCTTCTGCTCCCTGGACATGGGCCACCTGAACCCCTGCTACGAGGAGCAGGACTGTGGGCCTGGGGGCAGGCCTTCCTGGACTCTCCGGCCCCTGGGCCATGCCAAGTCTGAGGCAGAGCTGCAGGGTCTGGGCTAGGTGCTGGGCCCCACCCCTGTAGGTACTGCCTTGTCCCAACATCTGGGCTGCAGTAGGATACTCTGCCCGTCTTACACCTTGCTGGTCACTAGTCCCATCCTGTCACTCAGCCCCTTGGACCAGTCTTTCATCACTTCAGTGCCTGTGGGAGGGCTTCTCATAGGATGTGTGACCTGCTGAGCTTCCAGGAGGGGCAGTCGAGCTCTGGGCTTCTGTTAATCTGCTGAGTGACTTTGGATGCTGTCATCTCGGGGCTTCTACTTTGCTTCTAGGATGGGAGCTTTCTGAGGTGGGCGGGAAGGTTTTTTCACGATGAATGTGTCGGCCAGCCTTGAGGCCCTGGCTGAAAGTCCCCAGACAGCTCCTGACTGAGGAAACCTGACAAGTCAGGGAGAGGTGCTTGGGAAAGCAGAACTGAGTCCTCACTTCTTACCAGAGGTGAGTCAGCCTTTCAGAGAGAGAGAGAGAGCAGAGAGGCCTCGGTGGAGCATGTGGGTGTAGAAACGGGCTGACAGAACTTGGCCCATTTCCCACATGCACCTGACGCTCAACGGGTCTTACCATGAATTCTGAGAGTGGGAAGTTAGGAAGGTGCAGAAAGGGCAGGATGGACGAAGAGTGTGCCACCCAAAACCTGGCTTCAATGCGGACCAGGGGTATGAACCAGCAAATGGAGCAAAGAGTCTGTGTACGCTTAGGAAGCTGGCTGGTTTGTCCACACCAAAGCCCGTGGGATTGAGTCTTGCTTTTTCAACAGAGATGCTCCACCTCCTCCCCCACACTCCCATGAACCACCAAGACCTCCCTATCCCTAAGGGCTCATTTCCTGTAGTCATTTGACAGGGTGGGCCAGCATCGAGTCACAGGTGTGACTCTCTTGCAGAGAGCGGTCTGGGGTTTAGCTCCTTGCCTTAGGAAGTCACCCAGTGCAGGTATTTCCCTTTCCATGGTGTGACCATGGTGTCAGGGGCCTCATGACCATGCCAGCCCCATTTCTCTCCCTTCCTTGGAGATTGGGGCTGAGCAGAATCAATGAAAGGTGGAACTGATGTGGGCATTGCCAGAGGGGCTCGGCTTCAGCGGGCAGTGTGTCCAGGGAAATGACTCTAGTTGAAATCACTGGCCCTGCCGGCGACAGACAAATCCAGGATCAATCTGACAGGAAAATAGGAATCTACCGAATTGTTAAATTGAAGGACCAGTTCATTTGGGATGAACTTCTAGTCCTGAGTCTGGGGGCTGCTGTGTCTGCCAGTTGGGAGTGGGATGAAACTATTCAGTGCCTTGAGAGTAACAGATTTCATACTCCTGGGAGGCAGTAGTAGAACTAACGGAATAGAAAAACAGGGTAGCAAACTTGGTGAGATGGCAGGAGCCCGGGAGAGTCAAGTCTGGTGTGTCCAGCCTGCAACTCCCACGCAAAACGTGATCTGAGTTAAGCACCTTGTCACCTTCCTGCCAGACAAGTGAGACATCTTGTCTCAAGGGATAGGAGGAAATTGTTCTTTAGAAATTGTTTATTGGAAACACAGCATCAATCTTACATTGAATGTGCACGGGAACCCAGAACTAGGCTTACAGCCATTTCTTCTGGGTCCATCTCCTCCCTCCCAGCTTCACTCTCCCTCGTGAGGAGAGCTCTGGTGATCCAGTGCCCTGGTGATGGGCATTTAAGAAGAACTGATAACTGGCCAAGTCTAGGGCCAAATTTACCTCAGTGAGGGATAGGTTTGTTGCATTAATTATCCCTGCAGACAAGGGTGGTGGTGGTGGTGGCAGGTGCCTTTGAGTCGATTGTGGCTCAACCCTATAAGACAGAGTAGAACTGCCCCATAGGGTTTCCAAGGCTGTAAACTCTATAGGACCAGATTACCAGGTCTTTTCTCCCAAAGAGCAGCTGGTGGGTTCAAACTACAGACCTTTCGGTTCGAAGCTGAGTGCTTAACCACTGTACCACCAGAGCTCCTTGAAGACAAGGTATCGAGAATATTCTGCATGCCAAAGAGACCAGCCTTCCCCAAGCACTTTAACATTTCTTCACACAGCATTCATTGATCACATTTTATAAATAGCCTGAGGTCTTTGGGCTATGTGTGCAGAGGTCCTCGATGTCTTAATAACTGTTTGCTTCTCTGTTCAAACCAACGCCACCTGGGTAGCCTAGTTGTCTTTACTGTGTGGATTTGAAACAAATAAAAATGCATTTCTTCAGATTGTTTGTTGTTGTTGCTCTTAGTGCCATCAAGTCGATTCCGAGCCATAGTGACCCTGTGACCAACAGAATGAAACACTGCCTGGTCCTTCTTCCCCCTCACAGTCCTTGCTATGTTTGAGCCCATTTTTGCAGCCACTGGATGAAAACATTTTGTTGAGGGGCGTCCTCATTTTCACTGATGTTCTTCTTCAGGGACTGGTTCATTCTGGTAGCATGCCCAAAGATTGTCTAGTACAGGCTTTTCCTTTGAAAGGCGAGGTCTTTGTCCAGTTTGCCCGGTTTCAGCTGGTGCTGAGGAGCCAATGGTGGGCCAGATGGAAGCCCTGGCCCGATGTCCTGAAAGAATTAGGTAGGTAGATGTGATCTTGTTCTTCTTATGCTTAAAAGTTTCAGTGGGTATTTTCTGGAGAGAAAAGATTCAAATTCGTGTGCTCTGGCAGCTCTGGCTTTCCTTCTACTCCTGCAGCATGCCACAGGACCTTTGCACAGCCTGGACAGGTCTCATCCCCCGCCCCTCCCTTCACCTGGTTAACTCAACCTTCACATCCTGGCACCATAGCTGTCAGGAGCCACCTTACTAGCCTGGCCAACCCTATTTGTTTCCCTCCCTTGGCAACCGGGTCTGAGCAGAACCATCTGAAGGTAGAAGTGATATGGACCTACCAGAGGGGACTTGGCCTTAGCAGGCAGTGAGGATACAGGAGAAATGACTCAAAGGAAGTCTCTAGGTGAGGTCCTTTGTTAGCTGTTCATAGAACTGGTCCTTTACTTTGCCGTCACTCATTTGTGGGATTTTGTGTCTAATGTTAGTCTCCCTTCTAGACTATGGGCTCCAGGAAGGTATCTGTCACCATGCCTGGCAGTAGCTGACACTCACTGTTTATGTGCACAAAGGGGAGTTCCGAGGAGTCATACTACAGGACAGCTTGTGGTGAACCAGGAAGGCTAGGAGGGATGGCCTCTCCAGCCAGGAGACTTTGACTCCCAAAGCTTTTTTTTTTTTTTTTTTTTTAAATCTTAGAAAACACTAGGGATGGCATTAGACTGCCCAGGGTGATGTGGTCTCTGGGGCCGCCTTTCCGAGCCAATACAGGGATGCAGACAAAGATCCTTGCAGCCTTTCTCAGTAGATCTAACCACTGCGTGGTGTCTCTCTTCTTGGCACTTGGTTAGCTCCATAGCGTCCAGCTGGCCTCCCAATCTTGGCTGCTTAACCTCAGGCAAGCTACTTAATCTCTTTGCACTGAAGCTGTGAGGATTAAAGAAGATAATGGTGTAGTGCCTAAGGCATTTGACTGCTAACCAGAAGGTTGTGGTTCAAACCCACCAGCCAGGCCAGGGAAGGAAGGAAGACTGGGCTATCTACTTACTTAAAAGATTTACCACCTCGGAAACCCAAAGGTTTGACTATGAGTCGGAATTGACTGGTGTTTTTTTTTTTTTTTTTACCGGCGCAAGCAGCCGCTCCAGTCAAGCCAAATGCCGGTTCTTGCTCACGCGTGCTAGCCAGTAAATGGTTGATGCGCGGTACCCCGACACAATCTCTTGCACGACGCTCCCTGCGGCTGGGCGGGAGAACGCAAAGACGTTGCTCGGGCCAACACCTGTGACGACAGGGCCGTTGCCCAGCAACCGCGAACGCCGTAGCGGCTTGCGGGCTGACGGCTGTCTCCCGGGGCTCGCGTCCTGCGGCGGCGCCTGCAGCGCGGATCCCCCACGTCCCCGCCCGGGCAGGGCCTCAGGGACGGGCGAGCCCGGGCGCAGGAGGAGGCGGCGGCCCCGGCCCTGCGACTTCCCCGCGGCCTCCGTGCCCCTCGGCCTCCTCTCGGGTCGCCCTCCGCGGAATCCTGCCGCCCCGCCGCAGCCCTGCCCCGGTTTCCAGGCCCCGCCCCCCGCGGTCGGCGCTGGCCCCGCCCCTTGGTCAGGGCCGTCCGGGGTCCCCCGGCCTGTGGGCTTCTGCCCTGGCCCTGGCGCCCACGTCGGGCCGCGTACGGGGGGCCCCGGCCGTGGCGCCATGGCCTCGGAGTCGGTGAAGGTGGTAGTGCGCTGCCGCCCCATGAACCAGCGAGAGCGGGAGCTGCGCTGTCAGCCAGTGGTGACGGTGGACTGCGCGCGTGGCCAGTGCTTCATCCAGAACCCAGGCGCCGCCGACGAGCCCCCCAAGCAGTTCACCTTCGACGGCGCTTATTACATGGACCACTTCACTGAGCAGATCTACAACGAGATTGCCTACCCGCTGGTGGAGGTGAGGGTGCTCAGGAGCAACCCATGGCTTTTGAGGACTGGCGGGGCAGGGTGTGGGGCTAGCCTGAGGGGCTTGGGGGACAGCATTGTTCCGAGACCAGGCGGGAAGGCCTCCGGAGGGCGCTGGTGGACACCAACAGGTTGGTCTGAAGACTTTTGTCCGGGCAGGAGACAGCTGGAGTCCACAGACAATGTCCTGCCCAGGCCTCCCTCATCCTGCCCCTTCCAGCTCCCTTCCATCAAGAACTCCAGCCCCCAGATCCACTTGCCCTCCACCCACATCCTGCCGCTTCAGGACTTCTCTAAAAGCTCTAGCCCCTTTCCACAGCCATCTCCTTCCCTCCCAAGAGCCCTGGCTCCTCCTGCTCCCAGGCCACAGCCTCTGCCTCCTGCCTCTTCAGCCCTGCATTCAGAATCCTCTCCCCCAGCTCTCCCCTATGCTCCCTGAGACGTGGTAGGTGCAAATCTGTGTAAGAGGTCTCTGAAAGATCTCCCTGGTTTCCGGCTTCTGCAGAGAGAAGGCTGCTGGCCTCCCTTTGGGAGGAGCAGAAATCCTTCATCTTTGCTTTCATTTATCATCATCATCCTCAGTGGTTGAAAACTAAGGGAGAAGACAGCAGTCTCTCACATTTCATGGGACTTTTGCTTCCATGTCTCACACTAGGTTGCTCCTCTGAGCTTCATAATGAGGGGGGCACTCACATTTCACAGATGGGGAAACAGGCCCAGAGGGAAGAAACCTGCCCGAGGTGCCACAGTATGCTTCTGGCAGAGGTAGAGCTGGAACGATGACTCCCACCTGCTGGCCAAGAGCGCTTTCCTTTCTACCAGCATCTCTGAAGCTGTTCAGTGAATTCGGTGAAATGTTAGGGGCTGTTTGACCAAGAAAAAGAACCCAAATTTTCTTTTTTCAAGGTTTTGAACCATTTTTGTTTTGTGCTGGCAGGCCAGTTAGTATCTCCCAGAACACCTTCGTTGGCTGCCCCAGCTCCTCTGCTGAGAGTCTGTGGGAACCTGTTGAGAGGGTTGATGTGTTCTGAAGCACAGAGCTCCCTGCTGGTCAGGACCTGACCAGAGATGATGCCCAGGGGACAAGGACAGCTCTCTCTAGGGGTTGGTTCCAGGCTGTGGGGAGCTCCTCAGTTCCCAGGCTAGAGGGACCTGACGGGTCATCTAATCCAGCCCTTTCCCCATCAAGTCTTTGACTCACCCCTAAATAGTCTTTGCTTGCACCGCAGTCTTTGCTTGCATGTCTCCCGTGATGGGCACATATCTCTCCAGAGCAGCCCTAGAAGACTTTGGCACTTTGAGTCAAAGTCAGCCTCCCTGAAACCTTCAGCAGCCTGCCCTAGCTCTGTTCCAGGGGACTCACGGGACACCTCTGCTTCCTCCCTGCAGGTCAAGTCCTTGAAAATTGAAAGGATCTATTCTTTGACTTTCCCTCCTGCAGGACCTTCAGCCTTGTGCTTGGGGGTGGGATCTTGGTCCTCTCTTCATTCTGCAAGTGATCCACTGAGAAAGTCTACCTTATCAGGGTCCTCCAGGGAACCACAGCCCGTAGGGGGAAACATGTCACATCTCTCCTCCAGCTTGCCCTTTCTTCCTGACTTCTGCCTCTACCTGCAGTTCTCTGTCAGACACCTGCACCTGGACATCCCAGAGAGCCTCAAACTCAATACAGCATTCACTCATTTTCATTCACTCACTCTGGTGGCATAGTGCCTAAGGCATTTGACTGCTAACCAGGAAGGCTGGTGGTTCAAACCTACCAGCCACTCCTTGGAAGGAAGATTGGGTAATCTACTTCTGTAGTGATACCACCTCAGAAACCCAAGGAGGGGTCACTGTGCATCAGATCCGACTCGATGGCTGTGAGTTTTTTTTGTTGTTGTTGTTTTGTTTTCTTTTTTTCACTCAGCTAACTATGTAACAGGAGCTCTGGTGGTGTAGTGCCTAAGGCATATGACTGCTAACCAGAAGCTGGCGGTTCAAACCCACCAGCCACTCCTTGGAAACAGTAGGGGACAATCTACTTCTGTAGTGATACTGCCTTGGAAACCCAAGGAGGTGTCGCTATGAGTTGAAATTGACTTCATGGCAGTGAGTTTGTTATTTTTAACTAGATTACATCTCCACACCAGGTGTCATCCTAGGTGTGGGGAATGCTGTGGTAAAGGAGACCTTGGCTCTGCCCTCTGCAAGTTCATGATCTCATGGAGGAGCAGCTGTTGTTGTTGTTAGGTGCCGTCGAGTCGGACCTGATTCATAGCGACCCCTCCTTGGGTTTCCGAGGCAGTATCACTATGGAAGTAGATTGCCCATCTTCCTTCCGAGGAGTGGCTGGAGCAGCTATGTCAGTTAATAATTAATATCCAGAGTGATGAAAGGAGACTTAGAGGGGACGGGAAAGGGGGGCAGGGAGGATTTCCTTGAAGTAGTACTATCTAAGCTGAGACCTGAAGGCTAAGAGGAGTTGGCCAAGCAAGAAGGTAGAGGAAAGGGGCTTCCAGGTAGAGAGACCAGCATGTAAATTTGATCTGCAAAAGAGCATGTGGACATGTGTGAATAGAAGTCATCATTCCTGATGAGGAAACTGAAGCCCAGAGAGTCATGCAACAATTCTGATTCCCAACAGTGCCTAGTCCCCATGTGCCATCCTGCTGGCTCAAGTTAAAGGAACAGCATGCAACTCATATGCAAAGCACTGCTCGGGCCCGCTCTGAACAGGAACTGTACTGGTAGGGCTGAATGGTTGTGTCTCTGCCCTGGTGGACCCTGGCCCTGCTCCCAGGGCTCTGTGGCCTGCGGCTTGGAACCCCAGAACAACCCTCAGATCCCACTTTATGAAGCACTCAGCACTTCTGGTAGTTCAGTGAGATGTCTGACATCCTGCCTTTTCTGTTTTCTTCTCCACCCCTTAAATCTCTGTCTCAGATCTTCTCAACACTGTGATCTCCTCAGCCTCACCTGGGTATTGTCCAGACCCACCCTTCAGCTGACTCAGCGTGTCCTAACCTGAGCCCCTCACAGCATGCCCAGCCTGCTGCCTGGTCTCTGGGCACTGTCTTGACCATACCCTGGTCCACACTTAGAGTTGCCTCTGGTTGCCAGCCACCCCACTCCCAATTCACTCCACCCAGGGGCCAGATACCATAATGCTGTTCCATGGGAATTATTGCTGAGGATGACATCGAGGTAAAAAGAGAGCAAATTCACTGTTGATTACAGGACCCAGGGTGGAGGAACATAGTGGTTGACATTAGGCATTTAGGACTTGCATGTGTGCTTGTCCCTTGGGGACCTGGAAGTATCAGTTGATGAGTGAAACTTTGAAAACTTTAAAAAATCTTATATTTTGGCTGAAAAGTACATGTAAAATTGTTTTATACTTAGTCTAGAGCAGCACTGCCCTAGAGAACTTTCATCGATGATGGAAATATTCTGTGTCTGCGTTGTCCAGCTATGTAGCCACTGCCCACATGTTGCAGTTGAACACTTGAAATGTGGTGAGTGTGACTCAGGAAATGAATTTTGACTTTATTCAACATAAATAGCCATTTGTGGCTAGTAGCCACTGTATTGGACAGCATAGCTACATGGGAGCCACGTGTTGCTCTTAGGTGCCATCGAGCCAGTTCTGACTCACAGTAACCTTATATATAACACAATGAATTGTTGCCCAGTCCTGTACTGTCCTCACAGTCACTGCTGTTTTGGAGCCTCTTGCAGCAGCCACTGTGTCAATCCATCTCATTAATGGTTTTCCTCTTTTTTGCTGACCCACTCCTCTACAAGGCAAGATGTCCTTCTCCAGGGATTGGTCCCTCCTGATAACATGTCCAAGGAACTCTGGTAGCACAGTGGTTAAAGCACTTAGCTGCTAAACAGAAGATTGGCAGTTTGACCTACCAGCCACTCCATGTGAGAAAAGTGAGGTAGTCTGCTTCTATAAAGATTTTTTGTTGTTGTTAGGTGCCATCAAGTCAGGTCCAACTCTTAGTGACCCTGTGTACAACAGACAAAATACTGCCCTGTTGTGAGCCATCTTCACAATCCTTGTTATACCTGAGCTCATCATTGCACTCACTGCATCAATCCATCTCGTTGAGGGTCTTCCCCTGTGTCACTGACCCTCCACTTTACGGAGCATGATATCCTTCTCCAGGGAATGGTTCCTTCTGGTAATATGACCAAAGTAGGTAAGATGAAGTGTGGCCATTCTCACTTCCAAGGAGCATTCTGGCAGCACTTCTTCCAGGACAGATTTGTTCATTCTTCTGGCAGTTCATGATACTTTCAGTATTCTTCACCAACACTACAACTCAAAAGCATCAACTTTTCTTCAGTCTTCCTTATTCATTGTCCAGCTTTCACATGTATATGAAAATACCATGGTTTAGGGTAGGAGCCCCTTAGTCTTCAAAGAGACATCTTTGCTCTTCAGCATTTTAAAGAGGTCTTTTGCAGCAGACTTGCCCAGTGCAATATACAATGTCTGATCGTGACTGCTACTTCCATTGGTGTTGATTGTGGATCCAAGTAATATGCAGTCTTTGAGAACTTCAGTCTTCTCTCCATTTATCGTGATGCTGCTTGTTGGTCCAGTTGTGAGGATATTCATTTTCTTTATGTTGAGGTGTAATCCTTACTACAGACTGTAGTCTTTAATCTTCATCAATAAGTGCTTCAAATCATCTTCATTTTCAGCAAGGAAGGTTGTCTTGGAAACCCAATGGGGCAATTCTACTATGTCTTATAGGGTTGCTGTGAGTCAGAATTGCCTCAATAGCAGTGGGCAGGCGTGGTGGCGTCCAAAGTAAGTGAGACAAAGTCTGGCCATCCTCCCATCTAGGGTGCATTCTGGCTGTACTTCTTCAAGACAGATTTGTTCGTTCTTCTGGTACTCCATGGTGTAATCAGTGTTCTTTGCCAACACCCTATTTCAAATGCATCAATTCTTCAGTGTTCCTTATTCATTGTTCTGCTTTTGCATTCATATGAGGCAATTGAAAACAATCGTGACTTGGGTCAAGCATACCATTTGTCTTCAAATTGACATCTGTGCTATTTTACACTGTACAGAGGTCTGTGGCAACATATTTGCCCAGTGCAATAGGTCTTTTGATTTCCATGGGCATTGATTGTGGATCCAAGTAAAATGAAATCCCTGACAACGTCAATCTTTTCTCCATTTATCGTGATGTAGCTTATTGGTCCAGTTGTAAGGATTTTTTTTTTTTTTTTTTTTATGTTGAGGTGTAATCCAAACTGAAGGCTGTAGTCTTTGATCTTCATCAGTAAGTACTTCAAGTCCTCTTCATTTTCAGCCAGCAAGGTTGGTCATCTGCGTATTGCAGGCTGTTAATGAGTCTGGAGGGAGCTCTGGTAGCATAGTGCCTAAAGCACTTGACTGCTAACCAGAAGGCTGGCGGTTCAAACCCACCAGCCACTCCTCGGAAGGAAGGTTGGGCAATACTGCCTCGGAAACCCAAGGAGGGGTCGCTATGAGTTGGGGCCGACTCAATGGCAAATAACAACAACAACGAGTCTAGAAGAACCCAACATTAGGATCATGATGTTACTTGGTTTGAATGGTTCTAGTAGTCACATTTTAAAAAGTAAAAAAAAAGAAACAGGTGGAATTCATTTTAATAACATATTTTATTTAGCCCAGTATACCTGAAATATTATCATTTAATGTAATACTAATACATAATCATATTATGTAATATTATTAATGAGATATCTTACATTATTTTTTTATACTGACTGTTGAAAATCTGGTGTGTATCTTACAGTTATAACACATCTCAATTCAGATGCTGTTCTGGTTCCCTAGTGCCCCTCTGACAAGAATATACCACAAATGGAATGGCTTGAACAAATGAGTTTATTCTTTCACGGTTTGAAGGCTTTAAGTCTGAGTTCAAAGTGCCAGACTCTAGGGGTTGGGTGAAAGCCCCTCAGCCTTGGGCTTCAGCTCTGCCTCCTGCTCCCGGCCCACTGAAACTGGAGACTTTTCTTCACTCAACTGCTGACTGAAAAGCCCAAGGTTGACAAGTAAAAAGGCACAGTCCCGATGTTACCAAACTATATGGCAGGCAATTGATTCAAGACCATTGAAAGTCCCAAGGTCAACAGGGCATGGCAAGCTGCTGAACAATGACATGGCTACACGCAGGATGCAAGTGTGCCATCAGCTAGATACCATTCCCAAAGCTGCTGCTTATACACGGGAAGTGGACCACATCCCAAAGGCAGCTGCTCAGCTGCTTCCAGTAGATTCCACTATGGAGTTAATTACCAGTCTCATCATGGGGAATACTACATCCAGCTGCCCAGCCACTCAACCAGGCCCAGCCAGATTGACACACAAACTTCACCACCACAGATGCCAAAATTTCAATGGTTAAAATTAAATGAAACACAAAAGATTGTGTTCAACGGAGAAAGATTTTATATTGTTTTAGTTTTTCATTTTTAATTTAATTGAAATTAAATTACACAAAAATAAAGTCACTGAGGTGTGCAGTAGGCACATTTGTAGTGGTTAGCATATTGGATGGTGCAGCTCTGTTTATTTTTTATAAAATCCGTTCCTCATGTGTGTTTAAGGTTGATAACTCAGGAGCTGCTCCTGGTTGTTCTGTAGCTCCTGTGCTCCTGGCTCTCCCTACATGTGGCTCTGAGAAGTCCAGGCTTGGCTCTTGGCTGGGTGGTCTCTGCCACTGCCTCTCTCCACTACAGGGAGCCCTGTCCCTGTGGGCAGCCCACAGTCCTGTGAGAAGTATAGACACCCTGTGCTCATCATAGTGTCCCCTGACAGGGAAAGGTGCCTTCCCTCTGAGGAGCTGTGAGCTATAACTTCTGGTCTTCCTTCCCTAGCAGTTCCTGGGATGCTGAGGCCTGTTCTTGAGTACAAGAAGGTTCTGTGCAGTGGAACCCAGCATAGATGCCGTGTGGGCCTGTGGAGCCTGGCAGCAGTTCTCTGGGCCCTGACACAGGACTCCCTCTCAGGGCAGGGACTGTGTGTGCCTGTTTGTTCACCCACTGCTCTGTCCCCAGCCAGAGCACGGTGCCTGGCCCAGAGAGTGTGCTGAGAACCTGAATGAGTGAATGAATGAAGAGTGACCCTAGAGATGGTACCCAGTTCACCTCCTATCTTCCTTTCCAGTTTCATCTCCCACCCCTCCTGCCCAGCTCCACTTGGCCCCAGTGTCTCCCCCCTGTGTCTTTGCTCAGGCTGTCCCCTGGGCTTGTAATGCCTTCCTCTCCCCTCACAGCCACGTATCAAAGTCTAAGCCACCCTTTCACCTCTACTCTCCCCCACCAGGAAAGCTTTGTCTGGTTCTCCCACACTGTTCTGTTTTTCCCTTTCCTGGTACACCTCCTCTTTGCCTATTGCCTCAACTTGTGTCCTTATGTACATCCAACCTGCCTTGTGTGAGAATCACTTGTCTATGTCAGTCTTCCCCACGTTGGGTCACGTTGCAGGCAGACAGTTTGTGAGCACCTCTGGATGCCAGAGCTGTGCTAATGCATGTGATGATGAGCATGTAGACCTCACAACAACTTCATCCTTAATTAAAGAAGAGGAAACAGGCTCAATGTGCCTAAGCAAGACTAGCCCAAAGGCACAGAGCCAGGGTCTCAGTCTCTCCATGCTGCTGGAACAGAACCACCACAGGGGAGTGGCTTCAATGGACAGAAATTTATTTTCTTACAGTTCAGGAGGCTAGAAGTCCAGATTCAGGGCACCAGGTCTAGGGGAAAGGAGTCTCTGGTGGTACAGTGATTAAAGCATTCAGCTGCTAACCAAAAGGTCTGCAATTCAAACCCACCAGCCACTCTGTAGGAAAAAGATGAGGCAGGGTGCTTTCCTACATATTACTATCTTGGAAACGCTACAGTGCAGTTATCTGTCCTACACAGTTGTTATGAGTCACAATCGACGTGATGACAGTGGGCTTGGTTTTTTGGTTTGGTCTAGGAGAAAGCTGTCTGTGTTGGCTCTGGAGGAACATCCTGTCTGTTTCAGCCTTGGCCATCCTCATGTGGCACCTCTCTTCCTTCATTTGTACTCACTTGTCTCCGTCCATGTTGCTCCTTATACTCAAGAGGTAGTTAGGTTTAGGACCCACCCTATGCTGATGTGACCTCATTAACGTAATGTGTTAGATTGGGTTCTCCAGAGAAACACAAAAACCAACAAAGCGTATATATATATATATAGAGAGAGAGAGAGAGAGAGAGAAATTTATCTTAGGAAAATGGTTCACAAACGTATAGAAGCCAGCAAGTTCAAAGTCTTTGGAGGAAACGGGCTGGTGGCAGCCTTATCTTCTGTAAGTGCAGGGGGCCGAGAAATTCAAGGCTGGCAGGCAGTACACTGGTTGTTGACTCCAACGAAAGATGAATCCAAGATCTCCAGGCCAAGCGGTGGGCGGCTCACTCACAGAAGTTTGTAGTCAGCACACCAGGGTTCCAATCCCTCAAAGAATGTGTCTCTTCCCAGGATGTCCCTGGATATCTTGGAAGCAGGCCACACCCCTAGGGAAACTCCCGTTGGGCAGACTGGCCACTCAGAACACAGTCATCTGATCCCATCATGGGAACAACCACACAGAACTGGGGTCCAGCCAAATTGACACACAGCTTCAACTATCACACGTAACAAAGAAAACCCTCCTTCCAAGCAGGATCACATCCACAGGAGTGTTGTTGTTGTGTACAAGTTGATTCTGGCTCCTCAATCTCACAGGACAGAGTAGAACTGCCCCATAGGGTTTCCTAGGTTGTATCCTTATGGGGGGTGCTCTGGTAGTGTAGTGCCTAAGGCACTTGACTGCTAACCAGAAGGCTGGTGGTTTAAACCCACCAGCCACTCCTCGGAAGGAAGGTTGGGCAATCTACTTCTGTAGTGATACTGCCTTGGAAACCCAAGGAGGGGTCGCTATGAGTCGGGTCCGACTTGACGGCACATAACAACAACAACAACATCCTTATGGGAACAGATTGCCTTGACTTTTTGCCCACAGAGCCACTGGTGAGTTCAAACTGTGAAGTTTTGGTTGGCAGCCAGGCACTTTAACCATTATGCCACCAGGGCTCCATCTACAAGTATAGGGGTTAGGATTCCAACACATACTTTGGGGAGACATAATTCAGTCTAACAGCCAGTAAAGAGTGCAGATGGGATTTGAACCCAGGTAGCCCGGCTCCACAGCCCAAGCTCTTTCCACATGCAGTGATGCAGACCTTTACCCAACAGGCAGGGAGAGCAGAGCTGCTCATTGACTCAGATTCTCTACTCTCCTTGCTCTTCCTGCACCAGTGTGCTGGGAGACCCCAGGGAGTCTGTGAGGTAGGAGGCGGCACCATGGAGCAGAGCCCATCTGTGGTCAGTCCACCTAGACACCCAGGTTTTGACTTTCTCCTACCCAGGGTGTCACTGAAGGCTACAACGGTACCATCTTTGCCTATGGCCAGACGGGCAGCGGGAAGTCCTTCACCATGCAGGGCCTGCCGGACCCTTCCTCCCAGAGGGGCATCATCCCCAGGGCCTTTGAGCACATTTTTGAGAGCGTCCAGGTATGGGCCTCGCAGAAGGATGGGGCCAGGCTGGTGCTCAGGACCTGGGGGCTCCTGGCACGTTGCCATGAATGGTCCTCAGAGTACTGTGACCTGCCGCAGGGACATGGGATGGAATCAGACCCTGGGCTTGAGTCAGCATAGATCGGCAGAGGCAGGCTCTAGTTTCTGAGAAGGCAATGGGAGAAAAATTTAAAACCAAGAAAATGCTACCAGTTCCACGTTTTTCTCCTGCCGTTATTGGGTTATAACATTTCATAACTACATGTGGATATGATAATCCCACATTAGCCTGGGAAGTGGTTGTAGCAATAATTGTTTGTTTCTACTGACCACGCCTTGGACAAAGCCCTTTGTGGCATGATTTTGTTGGTCCCCACACTGACCCAGGAGGTAGCTCTTACCCCATTTTTGATATGTTGTTGTTGTTGTTGTTGTTGTTTGCCATCAGAACTTTTATGGGCTAGGTCAAGACCAGGCTTTGAACTTTGTCCCAGTGTCCATACTGCAGATGAGAATTGCCTGCGTCACCACTCATGGCAGGCACAGAGAGCCTTGCATCTAAGAAATGGCAGAACTGGGCCAGGGATGCTGGTCAGCTCCAGAGCCACTGTACTCACTCTCAGGACTCATGGTGGCCCATAAGAGCATCTAGAATCTGGGAGGGCCACCAGGATTCAGCCCAGGGCCAGTGCTTAGTCCATACCATACCTGTGGCCTCGGTTTCTCTACCTGAATAATGGGGAGGACCTTATTTCCTTCTGTGAGGCCAGTGAGAGAGCAGTAGGCAAGTACATAGTGACATGAGAACTCTGCAGTTCTGAGAAGCTGGAGGTCCACTAAGCTTGAGAGGAGGGGAAAGCTGGCTAGACAAGCAGGCAGGACAGGTGGGGTGGGACTCCTCTTGCCCTCAGATCCCCTTCCTCCTGTTTGTACTGCCTGTGAGACCCCAGGTCACTGGCTGCAAAGGTCCCAAGGGCCATCTGGCAGCAGATGGGCTGGTGTTCAGCTGTCCTTGCTCTTCGTCCCCTCCCTGCAGTGTGCTGAGGACACCAAATTCCTGGTCCGGGCCTCCTACCTGGAGATCTACAATGAAGACGTACGTGACCTGCTAGGGGCTGACACCAAGCAGAAGCTGGAGGTGGGTATGGGTCTGGCATGGGCAGGTGAGGACTGAAGGGGAGGTTGGCCTCCGGTGGTGCTCCTTCAGAAATGTGTGAGAAGTGTGCCGAGGGCAGGGGCACTGGCTGAGGCTGGAGTGGGGATTTTGACCTGGAAGTCTGGAGAATCCTCCAAGTATTAGAGGCTTGTGCCTGTGATGCACTGGCCAGGAATTGAACCTGGGTCTCCCGAGTGGAAAGTGAGTCTTCTAGCTCTGAACATTCACTGCCCTTGATAGAATCCTCAAAACATCCACCTCTACTTCACCCTTCTGCAAAGAAGTTCTTTCACTTGGAGTCTAGCCTGAGAACATTTTATGAAATGTGTGTCATGCTCCATGACTGATTGATGCTGAGGTGGGGTTAGTGGGCCTCCTCCCGCCTCCATCACTACACAAGGGGAGCTGGACTTCACCTGGAGGCAGTGCCAGTGTTATCTGTTGGCCTGGCTGGACTTTTTGTGTGAGATTTCCTTTTTAAAAAGGGCTTCCCTTCCACAAAACTTACTTTGAAAATCTCTAAGGACTCTTTTAGCTAAAAGAAGGTAATGATTCTCATTTATTGAACACTTACACTTGCTGCTTTTGGCACATTATCCCATTTAATTTTCATAGTAACCTTGTGAGGTAGGTATCACTATCCCTGATTTACAGATGAAGGAAGAAAAGCTTAGAGGCTAATTAACTTGCTCCAGGTTCACACAGCAGTAAATGACCAAGCCTGGGTTTGAACCATATCTGTCTGCCTTCAAGATCCTGGATCTCAAAAAACCCCTTTCACTGCTGCTCATTGACTCAGATTCTGGGACCTCATTCTCCTTTAAAAGGGGTCAGCCATGGAGATTCCCAAGGTCTCCTGGTGTAACCTCAGAAGGAGGCTGTTGCCAGGATCGAAGAGGGTAATATGAGTGAGCAGCTCAGTAGAGTGCTGGCACCTGGGAGGTGTTCACTCTGTGAGCTGTTTCATACCATCAGGATTCAGAGAATATGACAGAGGGATGGCAAAGTGGAAGCATCAAGAGAGGAAGGGAAGCTGGGACTGACGGTTAGCTCAGGACAGAAAAGTTAGAGCTGGCTCTGTCAGTCATGAGCATGACACGGTTTCATAAACTATTCTCAGTCTCCTGAAGGGCTAGACTTAGAATGCAAGAACCTTATTTCATAGCAGCGTAAATGAGGGAGATGTTTTGAGGATTCTGTCAAGGGCAGTGGTGGTTCAGTGCTAGATGTCTCACCTGCAGGAGGCCCAGGTTCAGTTTCTGGCCAGCGCCCCTCATGTCCAGCCACCACCCAATGGTCATCAGAGGCCTGCATGTTGCCATGATGCTGAACAGGTTTCAGCAGAGCTTCCAGACTATGATGGGCCAGGAAGAAAGGCCTGGTGATCGACTTCAGAATCAGCCAGAGAAAACTCTACAGATCACAACCATCTGTTCCCAGCTCATCACAGGGACACCACAGGACTGTGTGGGATTTTGTTCTGTTAGCAACAAACAACAACATCAAGACAGGCAGTACTAGGCTGAGGCTTTGGGGAGCCCAGGAAGTGACCTGGCAGGATTACACAGCAAGTTGGTAGCAGTGTTGGGACTAGGTCCAGGTCGTTTTGCCTTCACCTTATTGAAAAGATAACAACAACAACAACAACAACAGTTCTATCTTCTATCTGAGGCTCTTGAAATGCTGAGTAGGCCTGGTCTGGTCCAAGGAGGAGAGGCCAGGAAGGAGATGCTGACTCAGATCTGTGGCTGGCTTCCACAACTTTGGTGTTTCCCCTCTGGCCAGGCAACCAACAGCCTGATCCCCAAAGGCCCACAACTAGCAGAATCAGGCTGCCTGGGGAAAGGGTGAGCATCGTTCCTTTAATACGAGCCACCCAGGGAGGTTGGGATGGAGATTCTTACATTACAGATGAGGAAAGGAGGCTTGAAAAGTGGTTTGCCTGAGGCCACTTGGCTAAGAAGCCACAGAGTCAGGATTGACCACTTTCTGTGACCCCAACTGCTGAGGGCATGAACCTTAATGGCCATGGAGAGGTGGGGGAGTCAGAGAAGTGGGTGCCTGGTGACTTCTCTCAATCTGCTTGCTCCTCACTAACCTCAGGGAATGAATGCGCATTGAAATCACCTGGTCCCAACCTTCCCCTGTATCCTCACTTACCCTGCGTTGACCTGAGGGTCAGTGAGTTCCTTTGTGATGATGGGCCAAACAGAATAGATCAGGCCCCTGGGAGTGACTGTCTTGAAAAACGTTTGTGTATTGATTCATATCTTGGACAAATGCTTGAAAAATAAGCCAGAAAAGTCTTTGAGAGCTTCTAGTCGAAACTTTACTGATACAGATAAGGAAACTGATGACTGGGAGGGGAAGGGACTTGGCCAAGGTCACACAGCAAACTACCAGCAATGGTATTGGTACCAGAGCTTGTGGGACCTGAATGGTCAGGAGCTTTTTATCTGCATCAGCAATATAAGAAACTCCTGGGACAGTACCACTCATCTATTAATTATACCCTGGTGGCTTCATGTAGCTATGATGCTGGAAGCTATACCACTGTTATTTCATATACCAAAAGGAGTAATCATGGTGGACAGGTTTCAGTGGAGCCTCTACACTAAGACAGACTAGCAAGAAAGGCCTGGTGATCTACTTCTAAAAATTAGCCAATGAAAACCTTGTGGATCACAACAGAACGTTGTCCACTGTAGCGCTAGAAGATGAGCCCCCTAGTTTGGAAGGCACTTATATTACACAGTGGCCTCAACAGTGGACCAGAACAGACCTATGACTGTGAAGATGGTGCTGGACCAGGCACTGTTTCATTCTCTTCTATATAAGGTTGCCATGAGGCTGAACCAACTCGATGGCAACTAACAGCAAGGGGTTTTAAGTGAGGGAGGGTCATTCACTTGTTGATTCACTCAGTCCACAAGGACTTACTAGGAAAACCTCATGGGCTCCAGGTGCCAGGCCACACGCTGCACCAGGTGCACAGAGTCTCCATCCAGACTCAAATCCTGGGGACCCACCTCTGCCCCCTCTTCCTCAGACTCCGTCTCAAACACGGCAACCTACTCCGTTTCTGTGAAGGTGCTTCCAGCCGCCCACCTGGACTCTCTCTGCCGGCTTCTCTGTCCTGGAGCTGGTGCAGCTGAGTCACAGCTCAGCCCCCAGACGGAGGAATAGGGAGGGGAGGAAGGCACAGGGAGCTGTTCCCGTGAGGCAGCCGCAGTTGGCATGTCAGAGTCTCCTGCCTGCTTGGGAACTTCTGCCCACCTGACCTGAGCTCACGGAGTCAGTCACCGAGTCAGGCCCTCCTCCTGCTCCTCAACACCCTGGATCCTGGAAGGATCCATTATCCAGGCTTAGAGGGGCCAGGGGCCAGCAGCCATGTGCATTTGCCCCAGCTGGGCCCACTGGCTTCAGGCTTGGTGATCTGCCAGCAACAGATGTGTCCAGTGAACATCCCCCATGGGCTCAGGGGGCTTTGACAGGCTGCCCTGTGGAGGGCATGCAAATCCATTTTGTGGGAGGAGCCCCGTCCCTCAAGCAGTGAGCCTGGAGCAAGGATGGGCAAGCGCTGGCCTCCAAGGACCTCTCCAGCTGTCACGTTCAGTGGTGACTAAGGGGGCAACTGGAGTGGACAATCGGTTGTAGAGTTTATCATCCTGGCTGAGGACGGCTTCCAAAAGGAGCCAAGTCCTGGTTGCTGACTCATGATGACTGCCCAGGAGGAGACCTTCTCACAGCCAGGATAGCACGGTGGCATCAGAGTACACCTGGGGCTGGATCTCAGCCTGCCTTTCTCTGGCCATATGGTAGCATTGCTGTGAGGAATCAGATAATGTTGATAAAGTGCTTGACACAGCCTGATTATCTTTGTAATTAGAGGTAATTAGATCAGCTAGGCTAGCAAGAGAGTTTGGGAAGCATCAAGGGTAGAGAGTCACATCCTCTTGTACCCACAAAGCACCAGTATTGTGTGGTGGGTATGGGGCTCTTAGGGGCCTCACCCCTGGGTTCTCCCCACTCCGTGTAGGGCCAGAGTGCCAGTGGCCACCTCTCACAATGCAGCGTTTCTTGGTTCCTGACTGGCACTGCATCCTTGCTGGTTGCTATGGCAACCAGTCTCTGGCTGTGTAGCTGCAGCTGCAATGAGCAGTTACTAAGGAACACGGTGCACAGCTGGCAGTCCTCACTGGGCACCTTCCTGTCACTAAGGAGGAATGGGGCACATCACTGGAGGAGTCTGCCTTAGTCATCATCATTTGGGCATACGGGGTAGGAGTGCAGGTCTTCCAGGGCCTAATAATAGGACCAGTGAGAGACCCCTGAGGGAAGAGGCTGCCTCCCTGTGGCCCTTCCAGGTGCCTGAGCACCTCAGGTGCCAGACAGAGCATCATCTTCCTGTCTATGGCCTGCGTCCACTGAGCGCCCTCTAGGGGTCTGGCAGAACTTTTTAAAGGTCTGTTCTTCATCCTCCCGATGTTGTTAGGTCGTGACCCCATGTGACAGAGTAGAACTGCCCTATAGGGTTTTTAGAGGCTGTAATCTTTATGGGAGCAGACCACCAGGGCTTTCTTCTGTGGAGCTGCTGGGTGTGTTCCAACCAACCAGCCTTTCGGTTATCAGCCCAGGGCTTAACCTTTGTACCAACTGAGCTCCTCAAGATAGTTTTATAGAAGTAGCATTTATTATTTTCATTTTACAAATGAGGAAACGGAGGCCTAGAGAGGCAAGTTGACTTCCCCAAGTTTATAGAAACTAGCGAGGGGGAGAATCAGGTTTCCAGCCACAATCCATTTGACTCAATAGGAAGCTGCGTTCTTCAGAAGGCAAGAGCCGCCATCTGTTCCATTGGGCCTGCTCTGTGCCAGGCACAGCTCTAGGGATGAGAATGTGGCAGTGGTCCAAGCAGGCAGCTCTTTAGGCACACAGTCAGCATGGAGCAGGCTGTTGGGCACAGAGCAGTGTCCTAGGACTGTCTTCAAGCCACCCCCTCTCAGTGGGATCTCTCACTTCTGCCGTTTGTTCTCTGCTCCCATGGTCACCTCCTAGGTCAGCCCTTTGCTGCTGCAGGCTTCAGTCACTGTAGGATGTTCCAGCCTCTCCCTGACTCCATCCGTTGTGTTATGCTCCTGCCAGTGGAGCCTTCCACTGCTTGTGATCCCATTGCTGCCCTGCCAGCAGCGGTGTGATCTTAAACAAGTCACTTAACTTTTCTGTGCCTTGGTTGCTTGCATATCTGTTTCAGGAAGCCCAGTCCTGCACTAACTGCGGTCCTATAAGCTGGGTCTGGCTATTCCCCCACTTCACACGTTAGCAGGAAGGCAAAGCCTATGCTTGTCCCCTCACTATGACAGGGGGCCCAGCCCCACTAAGACCCCTGAAGCTGCCCAAAGCATCTGAGCCTCTGTGACTGACCAGCATAGACCAGCAGGGCCATTTGGCAGAAAGTTGACTTTTGTCTTTAATTCATTCTGCTCTTGCCAGAGTGGTTTAATTTCCTCTCACACTTGAAAAATATTGCATTTCACAGCTCTGTGTCAGCAACAAAACAGTTTGGCTGCCTAGAAAATGAGCAGGAAGCAATCAGATAAATTAATTTACTCACTGTCATTGCACTGATGGCTGGGAACCTGGCTGAGCTGTGAGCCAGCTGGAGTTCTAGACAGCAAATGGCCGCTCATTCACCCAGGTACCATGGCCCAAGGGTCTGGATATGTTCCTGTTGCTATGGAGCTATGATAGCAGAGAGGCAGCAGGAGCCATACGGGCAGGGTGAAGGAGGGAGCACTCAGAGCCCTTGGGCTCCCTGATGGAAACCAACTTCGTCATGCTATTAACAGCTAAGGTGGCAGCTGGCATTTATTGAACCCTTAATGACACACAAGCACCATGCTGAGCATTGTGTGTGTTTTATTTTACTGCATCCTCACCACATCCCTATGAGATTAAGTATTTTATATTCATTTTACAGATGTGGAAACTGAGGTGTGGAAAGGTAAAGTCACTGGCCCAAGGTACCACTAGTGGGAGATGTAGTGGTGGGTTTGAGGCTGGCTGTGCCTGGAGCAAACCCTCTCCTTCTGTTACAGGGAGTTGAAGTGCCAACCTGCACTGTAGGAGGAAGAAGGTGGTCTAACTAGGCCCTTGCCTCTGGTTCCCTGGCAACCCCTGCTCCTGCTTTGGGAGGCAGGAGGCCCCATCCCTCACCTCTCCTGCATGGTTCCCCCACCCACAGCTGAAGGAGCACCCTGAGAAGGGCGTGTATGTGAAGGGGCTGTCAATGCACACGGTGCACAGCGTGGCCCAGTGTGAGCGCATCATGGAGACGGGCTGGAAGAACCGCTCAGTTGGCTACACCCTGATGAACAAGGACTCCTCCCGCTCACACTCCATCTTCACCATCAGCATTGAGATCTATGCTGTGGGTATGTGGGGCTGGGCTGGGTGGAGGGTGGGCTGGGCACTCTGAGCCAGGAGTTCCTACTCCTCCCAGCCAAGACGCTTCAGCCCTGGGAGCCTCAGGAACCCCATCTAAAACTGCCTGGAAGAAACATAGGAGGACTCTCCCAATACTTGCATCTGTGGGTCTAGGACAACAGCAACATAACAGTAGTAATCCTGGTAGCTGGCATCTGTGAGTACCTACTGTGTGTCAAGCATTTTATGTGCATCATTTCATTTAGTTCTTACAGAAGTGCTGTGTTAGGTTCCTAGGGTTGCTGTAACAATTATTACAAACTTGGTGGCTTAAAACAACAGAAATTTATTCTCTCACAGTCTGGAGGCCAGAAGTCCAAAATCAAGGTGCCTGGAGGTCTGGTGCCTTCTGGAGGCTCTAGGGGAGAATCCATTCTGTGCCTCTGTCTCATGTGTTTACAGGCAACCCTTGGTGTTCCTTGACTCAGAGCTGCATCACCCTGCTCTCTGCCTGCTTTCTACAGCCTTCTCTGTGCTCTTTCTCTTATAAAGACATTTGTCATTGGATTCAGGACCCACTCTAATCTTGGAAGATCTCATCTGGAGATCCTTACCTTAATTCCATCTACAAAGACCCTTACTTTGAGTAAAGTCACATTTGGAGTTTCAGGTGGACACTATTCAAACCAGTGAAAACTCCACTGGGTAGGTACCATTTTACAGATGAAGAAACTGAGGTCACACAACTAGCAAGTGTCAGAGCTGGGATTTGATCTCACAGTGTGTATCAACCAGATTATTTGGGTTTCTCCTATTTTTCTATAATCTCTCTACTCTCCTGTTACCTTACTTTTCCTTTTTTTTTTTTTTTTTTCTTTTCTGGGAGTTACTGAGAAAGAGAAGGAAGGAAATAAATCCATATTTATTCTAAGCCATTTGTAAGCCAGGCCATGTGCCTCTACTGAACCCCAGCCAGACTTCTGATTTCTCCAGATTGCTGTGCTCATGGGCATCCAAGACCATTTCTGGTTTTCCCCAACAGAATACTAAGTGGGAAGTTCCTCTCCCTTCCTCCCCCAGCTAGGGGTTTGGGCCTAGCCCACTGATGGGTCTGAAATGACACCATCACATTTGGAACTCTCTGTTCAAGGGCAAGTTTCAGAGTCTCTTCTGACATCCATTTTGGTCTTTTTTTTCCTTTCCTGTCTTTTTAATGACCTTTTGCTTTCTTCATGGATGGTGTTCTTGATGTCATCCCACAACTGCAACGATGAGCTCAAGCATAGCAAGGATTGTGAGGGTGGCGCAGGACTGGGCAGTGTTTTCGTTCTGTTGTGCATGGGGTCACTGTGAGTCAGAGCTGACTCGATGGCATCTAACAACAGCAACAACATTTGGAACCATTTATGATGTAGTCTAGTAACAAGAAGAATTGTTAATGCTACAAGAATGCAAGTTCTCATTTAATGACACTTGCTGTGTGCCAGACACAATCCTTGGTACTTTACTGTCAATGCGATCCTCAGAACAGCCCTGCAGGGTGGATGTTTTATCCCTATTTTACTGAGAGAGAAAAACGCTGAGGCTCAGAGCCAAGTGGCATTACTTCCCTGAGTTTTACAGCTACTGAGGTAGACTCAGTAGCTACTTTAAAACCTGTGCTGCTGAGCCCACACGAACAGCCACCTGCCGCCCTTGACACCCAGGGTCCACCCTGCCAGCACGGAGAAACAAACCCTGCTAGGTTCCAGGGCCGTGTGGTGGTATTGGGTGCCATTGAGTTGATTTCAACTCATGGTGACCCCGTGGGATAGACTAGAACTACTCCATGGAATTTTCTAGGCTGTTATCTTTGTGGGAGCAGATCGCCAGGTGTCTTTCCTGTGCAGCTGCTGGGTGGGTTCAAACTACCAACCTTTCAGTTAGTAGCTGAGCACTTAATCATTGCACTTCAAAGGCTCCCAGGACCTGTGTAGACTTTATGAAAATGTGTGGTCAGTTTACTTTACTCCTCTCAACAATCCCAGGAGGGAGGTATGTGTATATATACTTAGTCTCATTTTATTGATGTGGGAAATGAGGATCAGAGAGATACATAGCTTTGCCAAGATTACACAGCAAGTAAGACGCAGAACTGGAATTGGAACCAGGTGCAAAGCTTCAAAGCTGATACTGTTTTGTATTAAAGGCTACAGCTCCCTGATGACCTAGACATACCCCCACCTCCAGCCTTACAGGAATTCTGTAGGAGCTGTTATGATAGCTATAAGGAATCCTGCTGTATTTGAAGACTAGTCTGTACCTCCCAGCCACTGTCCCAAGCCCCGCCTACCCTGACACCTGGTCAGTACAGCATGGTGGGAGTTGTCTGCCTGTGGAATTAGGCAGCCCTGGGTCAGATCTTGGCTTCACTACTTAGCAGCTGTGTGATCTTGGAAAGTTACATGCCCTTTCTGAGTCTCAGTTTCTTCATCTTTAAAATGGGCACATTAATCGCACCTCTTCAGTGGTTTCCTTTGTTGACTAAAATGGTACCCTTGGTGGGTGGTAAGTGCTCAGTGCCTAAAGGCCACTCCCTCCTCTGCCTGGTCTGTCTGCAGATGAGCGGGGCAAGGATCATCTCCGGGCGGGCAAACTGAACCTGGTGGACCTGGCAGGCAGTGAACGGCAGTCCAAGACAGGCGCCACAGGGGAGCGACTCAAGGAGGCCACCAAGATCAACCTGTCACTGTCAGCGCTGGGCAATGTCATCTCGGCCCTGGTGGACGGGCGCTGCAGACACATCCCCTATCGGGACTCAAAGTTAACACGGCTACTTCAGGACTCACTGGGTGGCAACACCAAGACACTGATGGTGGCCTGCCTGTCACCCGCTGACAACAACTACGATGAGACACTCAGCACGCTGCGCTACGCAAACCGAGCCAAAAACATCAAGAACAAGCCACGCATCAATGAGGACCCCAAGGATGCTCTTCTGCGCGAGTACCAGGAGGAGATCAAGAGGCTCAAGGCCATTCTGGCCCAGCAGATGAGCCCCGGCAGCCTGTCAGGTAGGGCAGCGGGGAGAGCGGAGCAGGGAAGGAGAGGTGGGATGCATGGGAGGGAGGCTGTGGGAGGATCAGGAGGCTGGGAGAAAGGCTCTTATGTCTGGTCTCTGGCTTTCCACCTGAGAGAAGATGGAAATGGACATTGTTCCCCACCTCCGCTCATCTTCCTGGGAGCACATCTTTTGGACACTCAGGGGTCAAAAAACCAGAGCTGTGGTTGGTGACTCAGAGGTTTCTGCTAGCTGATGGCCTCAGGGAGAGGCTCGTCTGTCTGGCCTAGCCTCTTGGCCCCAGGCTCAGTCACCTTTTCCCCACCTCAGGGCTGCACATCCGTTTTGCCACCCGTCCGCCCTCTGTGTCTTGGCGCTGTTGTGATGCTGTGCTGCTCCCTCACTCAGCCCCAGTCCCAGTTATGCACCTTGTTATTGCAGCTCTCATGAGCACACAGTTGGCTGTCATCTGGCGGGTAGAAATCCATACCTGCAGGACCTGAGATCTGAGAGACTCCAAGCTTTTTTTTTTCTGAGAACCCTTAGGGAAACAACCATGAAAGAGCCTGGGTTCATGTGTCTATTCATCCACCTCCTACCTTCCTCTCCATCCATCCACCCGTCTATTCATCCACCTACCCACCCACCCTCCACTTATTTATCTACCCTCTCATCCATCCATCCACCCTTCCATCCATCTGTTCACATAATCTATCCTTCTATCTGTCCAGCCACTTACCCACTCCATTCATCTATCTCTTGATCCAGCCATTCACCTGCCCATCCGTACAGCCCACCCATCCATTTAATCTACCTATTCATTCACCCATTCTATCTACCCATCCCAATCCGCTCTTCCATCCATCCATCCATCCAAAATTCACTGAGCATCTCCTCAGTGCCTGGGTCATAGAGATGCCTCAGACCCAGTCTCTGTCCTCTAGTCTCCTAGGGAGAAAAACACTCTAGCAGACAGTCAGGGTACAGCATGACAAACTCTAGAGCAGACAGCAGTACAGGGCACTGCAGGGCAGAAAGGAGTGTGTGGCAGGTCAGTCAGGGAGGGGGTGGTTGAGCAGAGTCTTGAAGGATGAGAAGTATCTCTGATGGACAGAATGAGGAGGGCCCTGTGTGTGCAAAGACATACAAACTGTAAGGTATGTTTGGGGAACTACAAACCCTTCTACTAGCTGCCTGGGGAGGAGGGAGGTGGGAGGTCATGTTGAGGCTGTCAAGGGCTGGAGTGGATAGTCTTGAATACAATGATGAGAATGGACTTTGACAACCCACCTTCTTCCTCTTGTCCTATTCTCCACTCCTGACCCCATTCATTCTGCAGGTCAGTCAGGGAGGACAGGAAGAGGAATGACAAGAGGTGTTGGAAACAGGGGGAGACTCTGCCGGTGGCTCCCCAAGCCCAGCAGCTGACCTTTGCACCACATGCCAGCGGTTACCATGCAGCCTTACAGCCTTACAGGGGTGGGGACTGTTAGTGTCTCTGCTTCTGGGATTAAGAGCATGACGTTTAGCAAGCTGGAACTGTGGTGCAGAACAGAGCTGGGAGCTGAGCATCTAATAGCCAGTTCTCTTCCAGGCTTCTTGGGCAAATGCCTTTGCCATCTGTGGCTCACTTTCCTCATGTGTAAAATGGAGAGAACACCACCACCTGCCTTGTCACTTTTGGAGGAGTTGGAGAATGACGTGATAATGCGTATGTGGCCTTAGCATGGAGCCAGGCACTTAAGGGCTCGGTAGACAACAGATGATGCTATAATTTTATAGTCTGGCCTTGCACCCATCTGTGTCTTGACTCAGGGCTCCACGTTTCTGCCCCAAAGTGCTCACTATCAGACACTGACCCTGTATCAGCTGTGCTTCTCCCTCTGGTTAGTGGCACATTTCTTTCTTTCCCTTTTAGCAAAACTTGAAATATGTTTGCTTCCACTGGCTCCAGTTTCTCTCCTGCGCTCCCTCTTGCCCCTGGTCCTTCAGGCTTCTGCTCTGCACTTCCTGAAGCTGCTCTTGTGCTCAGTGGCCTCCTGGATGTGAAAACCAGTGATCAGGCCCGACAAGCCTCAGCTCGCTTGCCCTATTAGCATCGGCAGACTCAGTGGACCCCCGCTGGGACACAGCTTTGCCCTGGTTCCCTTCCTACCTCCCCGGCCTCTCCATCCCAGTCCCTGGATGCTTCCTTCTCCTCGCCCTGATGTCCCACTAGTCCGGTTCTGTCCTCTCTGCTCTCTTCTACACTTACTTGTGAGGAGGTTTCATCTGTTCTGGTGGCTTTAAACCACCTCTGCTCATGTTCTCACATGGAGCGCTCTGAATTCCAAACTTGATATCCAACTGGCTATCCAACAAGCATTTCAATTTAGCATGTCCACCCTGCGCTCTCTGATCTCCCCCACCTACTTGTCCTGCAGACGTCCCCACACAGTTTATGGGACTTGTGTGTGTATGTGTGTGTGTGTGTGTGTGTGTGTTCGTGTTCCACTCTGAAACCCAGAGTCATCCTTGACTTCCTGTTTTCTCTCAAACCCACATCCAGTCTGTCAGCAAATTCTGTGGGCTCTACCTTCACATCATGCCCAGAATCTATGCACTTGTCCCCACTTCCTGCTGTTGCCACTGTGGCCAGAGCCACTAGCATCTCTCACATGAGTTACCTCAGGAGTCCCCCGACAGGTCTCCCAGCTCCGCCCTTGCTCTCTTGGTTTGTTCTCCACACAGCACCAGAGAAGTCCTGTTCAAATGCAAGTCAGATTCCATCACTGCCCCATTCAAACCCTTCAGTGGCACTGGAGTGGAAGCTAAAGCCCTCATAGCAGCCTGCAAGGCCCTCACCAGCTTGTCCTGTTGCCTCTCTGGCCTTCTTTCCTACCACCCTCCCCCTGGCTTACTCTGCTCTGGTTCCACTGGCCTCCTGGCTGTTCCAGGGCGGTCCAGGCACATGCCTGCCACATGGCCTTCACACGCGCTACCCCCCTCCCGGAAAGCTCTTCCCCAGGATCTCCGCCTGCCTCTGGTCAGATCCCTGCTTCCGCTTGTCAAAGGGGTCTTCCCTGACCACCCAATTTAAATTGCAACCCTTCCTTGTTCTTCCTTCTGAGCAGCCTGCCTGCTTTCTTTTTCTTCTTAGCATGTGTCACCTGTAACATGTAATACACTTTACTTATCTTGTGTACCTTTCTGCCCCAATTGAAAACTCACTGGGACCATGGAGTTTTGTCTGTTTGTCCAGTGCTGCATCCCCAGTGCCTGGAACATGGAGGTGCTCAGTGCATGTTTGTTGATTGGGTGAATGAATTAGCCCTTTATACAGAGGCACGTTTGAGATAGTGCAGCGCTCTGACGTCTTTTATGAACAAGCGTGTGGTTGTCTCTGTACTGATTTCTGCTTAGTTCGGTGAACCCTGTGCCCCTTGTCACAAACCCTGATCTCTGTTCTCTTCCCAGCCCTGCTGTCCAGCCAGGTGCCTCTAAACCCTGTCCAGTGTGAGGAGAAGCCACTGCCCCCACCTGTGATCCAGCATGACACAGAGGCAGAGAAGCAGCTGATCCGGGAGGTGAGACCCCTTGTGGTGGAGGCCGGGAGGGCAGGTGGGGCTGAGCGGGGAAGAGCTGCTGCCTTGGCTGCAGGGGCCCAACTCATTTAACCTTCACCAGCATCCCTGGGGTTGATTCTGCAGTACCCCTCTTGAAGCTGAGAACTCTGAAGCTCAAAGAGCTGCCATGACTTGTCCAAGGACATACAGCTCCCAAGAGACCGAGCAGGATTTGAATTCAGGTTCCTGACTTGAGTGCCTGCCACCCCATCATTGCCTGAACAGGGAGAATAAGGAGGGCTGTGGGCGTCTCCAGGAGATATCTAGCTTGGTCCTCTGTCTTGGGAAACAGAGTCAAGAAGTACCGATACTCCAAAGGTGCAGGGAGATCCTGCCATGTGTGCATGCACGTGTATATGTGTGCATATGTGTGTACGTGTTCAGGTGCATGTGTGTGTGTGTGTTTGCTTGCTCTCAGTAATGGAAGAGTGGCCGTGGATCGGTTGATACACAGCAGGCTTCCTATGGGGATGGCTGGGCAAAGGCAGAGAAGTTGGAATAGAGAGAGGATTTGGTCCTCAGCAGGTGCCAACAAGCCTGAGGCTGAGAGCGGGGCATCCGGGTGGGCAGTGAGGAACCTCTCAGGCAGCCAGTTGACTGATGGGTAAGTGGGGTGTTGGCCTCCAAGAAAAAGCTTTCACCTGGGGTGCCTAGATCCTCTCACATGTGTGCCTTCCCAGCAACCCTGGGAAACAACAGGTCAGGGAGCACCTCAGTGTGCAGATATGGAATTGGTCCCTAGATGGGAGGAGAGCAGAGCCACCGAACTCCCACCTTAGGCTCTGTCCTGACTCTGGTCTCTGGAGGTTCCAGCCATTTGAAGGCTGCGTTCTGAGACCTGTCATGGAATTTGACATTTGACAGTCCTTTTAGGGCACCAGCTTTTTCCTGATGAAGAATATCATGCCAGGCGGGGACAGCTCTGCTGGGGCTGGGGCCTGGCTGTGTCCATAGCTGGGCCTCTGCCACTCAGCTGTCACCTCAGTTGGGATCACATCTGGGGCCCCGGAAGCCCCTTTCAGGCTGTGGGGGCTTGTGCCCAGCTCTGGGTGGCCAGAACAAGTAAGGCTTGGAGAGCTCAGTGCTGTGTGCTGGAGGGCTGAGGGAAATTGACCAGAGTCCCCAAGTGCTGCCCCTGTGACAGACAGAAGCTTTTACTGTTTGCTCTTGGGGAAGATCATGAGGAGTCTAGGAACTCAGCCAGTCACTCTGCCTTTTCACCTGCTGCTCTGGAGGCTCCTGGGACAGGGTCTGGGTGTCAGGTCCATCTCTGGGTCTCTGGGCCAGGCTCAGAGGAGGTGCTGGGAGGGAGGGGCCATTGGGGATGGCAGAGCACAGCACCACAAGAATGAGAGAAGGCATGCTTTTTGCTTTTTTTTTTTTACTTTTTTTTTTTTAATTGTGATTTGGATGAATTCACTTTCCATACAGCTGTTCACACACACGTTGTCTCATGACATTGACTACAATTTACCCCAATGCAACAGCTCCCCTCCCACTTCCTACCAATAGTTACCTCTTCCCTGTGTCCATTCCATGTACTCCTGCCCCCTGAGCTGTCTCCCTGTGCCTAAACAGCCCCTTTTTCTCCCATGATTGTTCTCTGCAAGGAGTGTATCTACCTCAGGTAAATGTTCAACTTTTATGCCTATGTTTTGTCTAGCTGGAAGCCACAAGTGTGGTCAGCCTGTCTACCCATCTATCCACCTGTATACCCATGTTTTCTTTCACTGACAATGCAGTACTGTATGTGCAAAAGAGTTCTTCTTTGTTGTCTGCACCTCCCATGTACCTCTCTGTCTTCCTCTTCCTCAGTGCCACCATGTTGATCACTCACATTTGGTACATTGCCCTTCTCTTCACCCAAATCAATACTTACCTCTACCTTATCTAACAGTGTTCCCTACCTTACCCTCCCACCTCTGGTAACCAACAAAGAAAATTTCCTTCCATATATCAACCGTTCCTTTACTTTTTTTTTTTTTTTT